ATGCAATTTTAAAATTTTGAACCTATGTTCTTCCTTTGAATTATACAAAACTTGGTCACAATAATATTTGGTGAATATTGTTAATTTTTACAACAAACTTATATATGTTCAGTTTGAACAAAATAATTATTATATTTAAATTTTAGATCTCGTTTGATTTCCTCATTTTCAAAATACATTTTCTTTATTCTTTTCAACCACACATTTTTCAATAAAATAATATTATATTCGAATTCAAAACATTTTTTTAAATTTTTAACCACACATTCTCTATCAAATCACTATTCTAGAATGCTTTTTTTTTTTTTTTTTGGCAAAAAAATGACATCAAACGGGGCTCTTAATATTTTATTGTTGCCTACGTTCAACGGCCACCCGTGCTGACTCAAGATGTTGGGTCCGCCACTGTGTACAAGTGTGGTCACTATTACGCCTTTTCTAGCGAGGCTCCAAGTATGACCATGTTGTAGCCATACAGAAAGCGAACCTAGGCCCATACTCCACATCGTTCTGCTCAAGTGACACTTTTGGTCGAACTCCCACAAGGAGGCTGAAACCCCTATGGAGAGGCCAGACTCATTTGCTGAAGTAGGCCCCATATGGTGAGGTTGAATCCCATGGATGAGGCAAGGCTGGTCGAGGCTCTACAAAGGATCTTACATGCAGAATCTTAAATGAATGATTTATGTGACAACTCACTGCAATAGCCACCCTACCAAGTCAATATGTCAAGTCTAAGGTCCATGAGTCAGGTTTAGGGAGACAAAAAGGTCATAACATTAAATGCATTTACTTGATTGATGCCCATGATGAGATGCCTCAAATGTGTGATGAGGCCACATGTCTTTGCATCTAATGGTTCTTAATCATCCTCTTCTACGTTAAAAGTTCACACATTGTGCTATTCCAAAGGTAATATAAGTTTAGACTCTCATGTTTTAACTTTGCTCTCTATATTTACCCATAGACCTTCCTAAAGCCGAATCCCTTCTTGACAAGTGGCTCTATCTAAAGCACATTCCACATCCAAATACTAACTTCATTAGCTAACTTGACCATTAGAGTGTACGTGATTGC